TCTTGTCTGGACCAGGAGCTCCCTGAAAGAAGGAAGCAAGCCCTCCTGGGCTTGGAGAGGGTGGCAAGCTAGGTGCTCACAGCTTGTCTGGTGGCTGGCCAGCTGAGTATATGGTGACCTGTGACAAGTCTGTCTCCTCAGCTGGCCTGGCAGTTCTGGGGACCATGGCTGCCTTACCTTGGCACCTCTGTGCCCAGGGCAGAGAAGTTGCTCAACAAGTGTTTACTTGAATTAACAGAGGGAATCTTAAGAGCTAACATTTATTGAGTGCTTACTGTGTGCCAGCAGATACTCTAAGCACTTGACACTTTTTAACTCAGTGAAATCTGAAGAGGGTTTTAATGAGGGATGAGCAGATCTGGCCTCACTAAGGAGGTGACATGACTGGCCCTGGAACCTAGCTCAACAGCCAAACTCAAAGTTGCCCATAGAATTGATGAATTGTACAAACTGGTCTTCAAATTCATGGTCAGTCTAAGGACTGACTCCCCAGACTGTCCTCTGCCATATACCAGCCAGAAAGTTGACCCCAAAAGGGTACAAACAAGAGCCTTTATGCCTGACAGCAGCCTTTCTCTCCCCCGTCTCTGTGTAAATCCTAATTTTTATTGTTGTGGACGAAGTCGACCTAGGATACATGTTTCATGTGCAGGAGTAAACAGGAAGGTAACAATCCGCTAAATGTGTTTGGGTTATTCTTTCACACTCATTAGCAGTCCTTGGAGAAAGCTTTCTATTATGTCCCCATTTTTCAGATGAGAACATGGAGGGCCAGGAGGTTACTAATTCACCCCAGGCCACACAGGTGGTGCTTGGGGAAGGAGATCTGGTGTTCAGACTCTTTTACCTGATGCCTGCACTTCTCTAAGTGGCTTTGGAGGAGGATGACTGGTTCCATCCCTTCTCACTCCTAGGGATTCTACCAAGGACTGGGGCCTGCTCCCCCTATAATCAGACCATGCGTGGGGCTCTTCCACACCTGCTGAAGGTGCCCACTACTGGGCTCCCTTCTGTCACACACTAGTCCTCTCCCAGCACCGCCCTTTTGTTCCTCCCCCGCCCAATTATTTTCCTCACCAGGAGTCAGAGAGAAACTCTTCCTTCCCAGAGACCCCAGAACCACCACTTCCACCCTGCTGTGGGATTTCTAGACCTGTGTCACCCCCTAGAGGGCCAGGGGCTTCCTGAGCTGGGGAGGGAGGGAGACCATGACTGAATCTCTCCACAGCCTCATCTCTGGGGTTCTCGGGAACCCCAGACCTTTCTTTCCTGTGGGGCAAAGTGTTGCACAGCATGTACACCTGTACTGAGTGTCGTGCGAAGCTACACATACCTATGTGCAGGCTGACCTGTGCCTGCATGGGTGTCCATAGATGATCACATGTGCCTGTGTGGAGACACCCCGATGTGCATGCACAAGCACATGCTCCTGCATCCAGGCGTTTGTGTGCATCTGCATCTGTGTCTAAGTGCACATGTGTGGCCAGTGTGTCTGAGCTGGGGGTGAAACTGTGGGTGATCCTCACTGGAGACTCCTCCCTAGTGGCTATAACTGAAGCCAAATGGATGACACTGTGACAGTCAAGGGGAGGATTGGGCTTTGGGGTGTCCCTGAAGCAGCCCTCACCACTCATCATGGCCACAGAAATACCACACCTGTGCCTGAACCTGCTGCCTCAGGACCCTTCTATTGAAAGCACAGTCCAACCCTATCCTGCCTTGTGCCACCAGCAGGAGGTGCCTCTTGGATCAGTGGATGAGGGAGCTGGGCAGGAGGGCTGTTGCCCGCCCTGGGCAATCTGCTCAGCCCAGTCCCTGGCTATGGAGTCAGGTTGCCCAGAGTTGAACATTAGCTCAGCTTCTTTTTGTGGGCCAGTTCCTCATCTGTAAGGTAGGACAGCGTCCCCATCTCCGGCATTATCTGAGGACTGGCTGTGTCATTTCCACTGTAGATGTGTACCCACTGAGAGCCATGATGGTTAGGAAAATAACAATTATTATTAAAAGTTTGAGGCTCTGCCTCCCAGCAGCAGGTTGACAGAGGCTGAGCCTACTGCTCACTGTCTCCATGCCAAAGGCCACGGGTGGGGGGATGCCTGCCTGGGGGATGGTGGTCTGAGGATGTGCTCAGCTTAGAACACCAGAGGCTTTCCTGTAGGTGTGGAGATGTGCAGGCCCCTGGACCCCTGGGTAGGCCCTAGGACAAGGGCCTTTGGCCCTTGCTGGAGGGAGTGCATCTGTGTGTTCACAGACGTGTGTTGTCTCAGAGCCCTAGCTGAGGCCATTGGGTTGCCAGGCCTGGTCTCCTGCCCAGGGTTCATCCAAATCTTGGCTTGAGGCATGGGCTCTGTCACGGTTGCAGAGCTGGCACCCAGTGGGCTTCCTGCAGTAGATGCGGTCCTCAGATGGCCTCATGCTCTCGGGCCCTGAGCTGCCTGCAGCCTGTCTCATGCTAGGCCACCGTTCTAGTGCTTGTCAGCTTTCTGCTGCCGCAGGGCCTGCAGGAAGACCCCTTTCACCTGGCCCAGGGTCTCGTGGTACATCTGGAAGTCCTCTTCCTTTCCTCGCAGGGCACTGTCCAAAGCAGCCTTCAGCATCTCATTCTCCTCCACCTGGATGGCCAACCTGGACCACACGGAGACAGGGCTAAGTGTGGCCTGAGCTGGTGTGTGTGTGTATTCATGGTGTCCCTGGAGCCCTGCTTAGATGCATCCCTGGGAGATTCTTCTCAGGGCCTGCCCACAGCCTGGCCTGGTGCCCAGTGGCTCTCAGCAGTGTCAGCTGCCCCAAGATGAGCACTCATCTACAGAGGTTCTGCCCTTCCTTCTCCACCCTGCGGCCATTCTCAGCAACCACACATGGTCAAAGTTCTCTTGGACTTAGAGGTCATCCTAGCATGACTAGTCCCTGAATTGCAGGCCTAGAACCCAGGACACAGCAGGACCAGCTGCTGGGAAAACAAATCAAAGGTGCAAGGGGAAGGACACAGTCCCCCTACCCATCAAACCCCCACCACTCAGACACCTCTGCTCTTTTAGGAAGGTTGGTATGGGGTGGGGAGAACCTGGTGGTCAGCTCCTCCATCTGGGATTCCATGGGCACATCAGAGAGCTGGGTGAAAGGTGGGTCCTTTCTCTCACTCCCAGCTGGGTTTTGCCTGGTGTTAGATGAAGGCAGACCTACAGGCAGCAGCAGTCACGTTGTGTGGTGAGGTCACAGCTCTGTGCTAACACCTCCTTTTTCCTTCCCCGATTGCCCACTTCCTGTCTTTCTACTTGGCAAGATAGCACACCTCATTTAGGGTGCAGGACAAGGGCTGCCTCCTTCTGGAAAACCTCCCTGATTCCTGCTTTGAACCCAGCCCTGGCTTTGGGCTCTGCTACAGACCTGACTCTGCCTGTGTTATAACAAGGTGGTTCCTATCCTCACCATTCCAATGTCTGGCTATTTGTTTGCAACAAAAGAAGCCAGCTGGGCCTGACAGGCCAGTGGGCTGAGCCTGAATTGGCCATGCCTGCTCTGACACTCTCACATGACCAGGCCCCTCATCAGGCCCCATTTGGGCCAGCAGCTTCACCCTAGGAGGTGGCTGGGGTCAGAGGCTCAGAAGGCTCAGAGAAAGCAATCAAAGCCCAGTTTGTGGACCTTGGGCAAAACTGTGGCATCGGAAAACCTTTGTGCTAAAACGGCCTTCAGGAAATGGCCTGATATTGGCAGACCTGGCTTTCACTTCGTGCTCTATGGCCTTGGGAAATCCACCTCTCTGGACTGGTATTCTTGTCTGAAAAGTGAGGGAAGACTTTGGTTCTAGAGCTTTGAGAGGACAGAATGAACTCACACTTGGCCTTCAGGGCCCGGTGTGATTGGACAACGTTTCGGATCTCACTTCATCCTCTGCCCCCACCTGCCCTCCCCTCCAGCATCGCTACCTCCTTTTTGTTCCTCTAAGCCTTCAGCCATGCTTTGATCACAGTGCTTTTATAGTGGTTCTTCCCTAGGTATGTCCCCTTTCCTACAAAAGGGTCTGATGGGTCCCTGGGCTCTGGGGTTCCTGGTCCTGATCAGGAGCCCAGGAGGACCCACAATTGCTTCCCATCTCACTGACAGGACTGAAGAGCAAAGCCACCCTTCCTCACTGAAGAGACCCTACCTAGTTTGTTCCTGGGGGCTTTCTGCGAGGCCAAAGGCCTGCGGGGCTCCAGGCGCGTCTTCTCCAGCTGCTGCTCCAGCAGCACGGTGTGGTGCCGCTCCTCCTGCAGCCTCCTCTCTGCCTCCAGAAGCCTGCCATTGCTGTCCTCCACCCTGGTGGGTAGAGAGGGACTGCTCACCCATGGCAGGTAGGGCCAGCACCCTGCCCTATTCACGCTGCTAGAGAGGCAGGTACAGCTTATATAGGTGGGGCAGGGCTTATTCTTCATTTTCATGGCACTAACACAGGAATGTGCATTTAAAAAGCCTATAGTGCTCTCCACAGTTAAAATGAAAACCCTGCACCCCACCCCCACCCCCTTCATACCCCACTCCTGCTCCCCTTCTGGTGTTTTTAGCTGTTTCCTCAAATGTTTTCTGGCACATTTCTACAGATGCTTGTGCTATTTTTAATTTATTCTTAAATTTTTTTTTTGTGGGCCTAATGCTTGCTAAGCAGGCACTCTACTACTTGACCCACACTCTCAGTCCTTTTTGCTTTAGTTATTTTTCTGATAGGATCTCGTGCTTTTGTCAGAGTTGGTCTCAGATGGAAATTCTCCTATTTCTACCTCCTGTATAGTTGAGATTGCAGTCACGGGGTACAATGCCTGGCCTTACATTGCTGTTTTTTAAGGTTTAAATGTAATCTTTTGACTTCCTGTCATGCAGAATGAGAATTTAGTTTTATCTTAGTACTCTCCCCCTACCAAACAGAATCACTTTTCCACTTTTTGGCTAAGTTGATACCAGGTGGTATTCTAGTTTTCTATTGCTGCTACAACAACCTGCCACAAAATTAGTATCCTGAAGCAACACAAATTTATTGTTTCACCATTCTGACATCCAAAGGCCAGCAGGTTCAGTTTGCTTTTTCTGCTCCAGGTAACACAAGCCAAAATCAAGGTTCAGGGAGAGAATGTGCTTCCAAGCCCATTCGGGGTGTGGAGGTCCCTATTTTTCTGCTGGCTGTTGGCTAGCTTCTAAAGGGCACACTGTCCCCTCATTGCTAAAGCCAGCTTTGAATCTCTCTGGCCTTCTGATGATGCCTTTCTCGGCATCTCTCTTGAATGACCCCAATATAAAAATTTTTCTGCTTTTCTGGGATCAAGTGATTTAGATTGGAACCACCCAATAATCCAGGATAATCTTTTGATTTTAAGGACCATAATGATAATCATACCTGCAAAATCCTTTTGCCATGCAATATAAAGTATTCATAGGCATAACATCAGAGAACAGCAGGGACACCAAAATCCTGCCTGCCATAGAGGGGACATTTGGACAGTTATTCAGAGCTGAGCCATGTAGTGTACCAATGATTATACTTCCTTTCTTATTTGTTTGCCTTTCCTGGAGTTAGTGATTGCCTTATGTTTACTGTTCTGTTTCTGTATTCCTGATGTAAATTCATGGGCCTTGAGGACCTTGTAATTTCAATATTTCACAAGAATGACTTGTTTAACCCACTGGAGCTTGGGCGTAGGTCCTTCCTGTGGCTGGATATGGCATTTCAGACTTCTGAGACACTAAAGGCTCAGCTAGGAGGCCGGGACTTCCTGATATTTAACCCAAGCAAAGGATGACATACACAACTCAGAGTGGACCCTTGGAATGTGCAGTGCTGGAGGAAGTAGTCTTCCCCTCTTAGGGAAGAGACAAAAAGGAAGGGGATGGCAATGATTCTTAATGGGGTGCAACTTGAAGCTGTGTACTAACAGTATAAAATAGTACTAAGAGCACTAATAGTGTGCTTCTGGAAACTGTATTTCCAAAAGCACGAATCAAAAACAACCTAAGGCTCATCAATAGGGAAAAGACAAGGAAATGGTGGTATACTCATACTATGGGATAGGTTAGAATATAAAAGAGCTTCCCCAACACAGTGGCTGGCAGCCTCATGTTCACATGTAGCCATTAAAGTTAATGAAAATTAAATTAACTTTAAAAATTCAGCTCCTCAGTCACACTAGGCACCTTTCAAGTTTTTGAGGAAAAAGCCATGGTGACTCTAGATCAGAGCAGGCGATCTAGAGCATCTGCTCCATCTCAGAAAGGTCTGCCACAGAACTGCTGGAGCAATGAGGAAGAATGCAGGGTAGCAGTATGCACAAACATGGTCAGTCTGCAAGTCACAGGATGGTGGAAAATCAAGGGCCATAAGAATACATAGAACATAATGCCATGTGTGTAAGTCACCAAACAGTGGCATTTCCAAGACTGTCTACTTGTGACTGTACACACATGAACAGAAGGTTATCCCTAGATAACAGGGTGGGGTGGGATACAGAGCAAGACTTAGAAGGGCCACAACACACATTAGGCTGACCTGTTGACTGTAGTGGTAGCAAGGAGACTCTGGTCCCTACCTGTATTAGCAGAGGTTTATGGTAAGACTGAGGCAACTGTCTCCTGTGAGCTGTCTACTGGGTGAGCTTCTCTTCACCTGTCTGGCCTGCTAGAAGGAAGGTGGCTATAACTATGGAAGCAGACTGAGCAGTGATTGCCCTTAGAGCTGACACCCTGAACCCCAGTGATCAGTCTCCTTCTAAACCTGCCACGTGGGTGACTCTGATGGCTGCCTGGTCCTGTCTCCTGCAGAGGTGAGGTGTATCCTCAACTCCCCACTTAACCAAATTCCCTGCCACCACTGTTCTCACTAGACTGAGCTTCACTGCATCTTGGCTGTGGCTCTTCCATAGAGAGCGTCAGTCCTGAGAGAAGAGCCACGCCACTCCACCAGTCATTCATCTTCATATTCATTCGGGAAGTATGTGCCTGCATGCATGGGCTAGGAGCCATTCTAGGTGCCCATCCCCTGGAACTTCCTGACTCATAGCAGAGAAAATCCATTGAGAAACAAACATATGCATAGTGTGAGGATGGGGCAGGTGCTATGAAGAACACAAAGCACAGAAGGAAGGAGAAAGAGGCTACCCAAGGTTCAAAATCTGAGCAGATTTTACCCTGCTAACTTGTCAGGAGAGATAGGAAACTGAACTCTTAAAATGCTTCAGTGAATTCTGGATTTGGAAATGTTGTAAAAAAAGCTAGCTGGGAGAAAGAGCTCTTAGAAATCATTTCTTTTAAAAAATATTCTGAACTTAATTATCAGAATGGTCCCTGGTGAAACACAAATGAGAAATCTGAAGATAAACTGAGGAATGATTCCAGAGCACAGAGCAAAAATACCCCCAGAAAAAGGCAGTCATTAGTGATAGAGAAGAGACATGGAAGGTAGGCTCAAAGAATCTACTACCCAAATAATAGGAATTCCAGAAAAGAGGTAAAAGTAGAAGAGAAGCAAAATGAGAAAAAATAAAATATTTCCTAAGCTGAAAATAACCCTGGATTTTTCATATTAACAGAGCTCAATGAGCACTGGCCAGGGTTACAAAGGAACACACACTCAGACACAGCCATGCCACTCCTGAGCTCCAGGATAAGGAGGAAAACCTATAACAGCAACACAGCCAATGCTGTTTTGAGTACTCTTCATGTACCAGGTACTATAGTAGGGCACTTCATAAGTATATTTCATCTCATACTCTGAGCAACCAAGAGGATACAATAATATTTCAAGAAGAGGCAGAAAATCTGACTCTGCAGAAGGCTATCAAGATCTTTCTACAAAAACAAAAAAATAAAAAACAAGCTAAGGCAGGTTTCCAAGAAAGGTCTATGTAATCTCCAAGGAACTTGTCATTCTTGTCAATCTGACTATTCTGCAATATAGGAAAGACAGTGGCTTCCTATAAGTTCATTAAAACAATCTGATCTCACAGCTCATAATAGGGTAAATGTGTTTTTTTACTGCATGACAAGTCATCACAAACTTAGTGCCTTGCAAACAAACACCCTAATTCACCTGTAACTCCAGCATTTGGGAGGCTTGAAGCAGCAGGATCACAAGTCTGAGGCCAGTCTGGGCTACATAGTATGACTCTGCCTCAAACCAACAAAATCTCCAGAAAAAGACCAATTCCTACAACTACCAACACAATTAAAATAACCCAGTTAGAAAGCAGCCAAAACCTTATTTTTCTCAAAAAAAGATATGGAAATGGCCAATAAGTACAGAAAAGTTGTTCAACATCAGTCAGTAGTCATTAGGGAAACATAAACCCCAATTCCATGTGATACCAATTCAAACCCACTGGGCTGTCTACAATCAAAAAAAAAAAAACAGAAAACAGCCAATGTTGGTGAGGATGGGGAAACGAACTCTTATACAATGCTAGTGTGTGGGGAGCAGAGCAGGAGAAACCTATGAAGACATAAGCACAGTTGTACTCAGTATTCTGCAGGCTGAGATTTGGCACAGCCCCAGCTGTAGAAGAGAGAAAGAAGGTGAGATGTAGCTCAGCTGCTTTTCCTAAGTTGTTTAGAAGCATGCAGGTTCTTCTTGTTGCAATGTCACACCTCTTCCCAAGAACTGCTGCTCCACCTCCTTGTTTACCACTGGGTATAAAAGACTCACTGAAGGAGGATGCGAGATTTTTTTGATGAAGGGAGGCTTTTGGATGTGGAGATTTTTTGATGGGGGGGTTGCTGAAGGAAAATGAATTGCTAAAGGGGAATTGCTAAAGCTAAAGAGAGAACATGGGACAGTGCAAGTCTGCACTGAGAACTTTATACATAGGCTTTAGAAAAGCTAAGCTAAAGAAAAGCTAAGAGAAAACATGGGACAGAATGAGTCTAAGGAAAGAGATTTTAAAGCACAGAAAAGAAGATTTTAGAAGTGAGGTTTTAAAGACTAGAAAGAAGAAAGATTTTAGAAGCAAGGTTTAAAAGAACTGTAAAGGAGTAAGGCCTTAAAGAATAAAGATAGAGAAAAGAAGCAATGAGGCTGCTGTGCATCTCCAACCAAGCACCCAGCATACCTGGCCCCAACTTTCTGTCTGTCTATCCTGTGTCCTTTCTGCATCTCCCACTGCCACCAGTTAGGCCCAGTTAGGTTCAGTAGTAACAGGAGTGAGAGAAAGCTCGCTCCACTTAGTGGGATTGTAAAATAGTACAACCACTGTGGAAAGCACTTTGATGACTGGCTTCTAAAAGTCAAGCCATAGAATTACCATATGACTCAGTAATTCCATTCCTAATTTCATGCCCAA